CGTCACCACAACCCCTGCAAAAGAAGCAGACCAACTTGCACTTCGCATTGTATGATGCTTTCCACGTGCATTTGATTTGTATTTATATCGAAGAGTCATCAAGCAAGAAAGATTCGTTTAATGCTGAACACAATAAAAAAGAAGCGTTCTTTCGAGCCAATCGGAGCGTTGGGCTTTCTACCTTCCACTTCGTTAGTAAGCCCACGTAACGTCCTGCTGCGACAAAATCAGAACGCAAAAGAAAGAGACGAAAACGATAGGAGTGGATGTCCTATTGCCAGTGTTGTAGGCGTCACGGGAAAAAAAGTAACGAAATACGTTACTCGTTACTTGCAAAATTAAAGGAACGTGATGATTCAAAACCTGAGACTGGTTTGGAAACGGAACATCGTGAAGTAGAAAGAAAAAGGGACAGACAACGTCTGTCCCTTTTTCTTTCTACTTCACGATTTTCCGTTTCCAAACCACAGTCTCAGGTTTTCAATCATCATGTATAACTTACACCAGCTCGCCTGCACTTTAACCGTATTTTTTAAAGGAACGTGCTACCGTTATCGTTTAAAAGGAAGGCACATTACTTTTACGTTACTTTTTATTTGTAAATTGACGGCAACAACGTTGTTTCGACGACAGCGTTCTTTGATACTGGTACAAAGGTTTTTTTTTTGTTTTTTTTGCAGAAATTGAATTTTTTTTTTTGTGGGGAAAAGACAGGCAAAATTTTGATGGCATGTGGGATTAGTACAAAAACAAATGACTTGGCGCCTAGATTTCGTGTTAGGGTAAGTCCAGGCGCAGTCGACGCTACGAACCCAAAAGCAAAACTCACTTGACCTTGTTTCTGTTTATGATTGGTTCAGCGATAATAGAACATGGAAAGAAGCATGACGAACCCCATGATGGCGCACTTTTGATGCGGTCCGATTGGTTCCATTAGCTCCTAGCGTCGGCTGCGTCTGGCTTGAATGTAAGTGTACTTTTTTTTTTCAAATCTTGGGAAGAATCTGTAACGAGTAACGTAACTACGTTACTGGAAATAAGTAACGTTAGTACGTTACCCGTTACTGTTTTGAAAAAGTAACGAGTGCGGTTACTATGTTACTAAAAAAAAAGTAACGCGTATACGTGTAATGTCGTTAGTTGTAACGCGTTACCGCCAACGAAGTCTAAACTCGAAAGAAAAATTCAATAAAGTATCTTAAACAAAGTTTGAAAAATCAACCTGTTTTTGTGCTGGTGTGACGGGTATTACAGCAGTAAAAAAAAAAAAAAAAAGAAGGTTGTTAATTAAACTGTACTTTACATTTATCTTAATTCCTTCTCCCGAATCGTTATCAGTGATAGGACGAAGTGATCAATCAATCTGTCACGTTGAAAAATACATCTAGCGTAAAGAATCACGATTTGTTTTAGTCACAGCAATTTAAATAAAATAAATTTGATTCGAATTAAACAAATGTGACAAGCACATTTAATTTACCTTACTTAAAAAAATTATATAGATTTTTTTTTTCACATTTTGGTAGAAACAGAGATTTTGGCCATAAACGTCGCATACAAAATGGTCTGTGTTTTTTTTTTTTTTTTCTCGGGGGATTGGGGAAAAAAGGGCCCCCCCCCCCCCCCCCCCCTTTTTTTTTCCCCAATCCCCCGAGAAAAAAAAATATAGGGGGGGTTCGAGAAAGGTAAAAGTACAGATTTGTTTTTAAAAAAACAAAAGTGAAAGGTACCTTTATTTGGTTTGTGCAGGTGAGTTGTATGGCGAGGGCGACATAATATAGGGGGCTTAGTGTCATGGTAAGTCCAATAAATCACAAATTTCTATTAGCTTTTTAATTTGTAAAAATAAACGTGTGACTCCATTTAGACACTTGCTGAGCGTCATCGAAAACCGCTACACCAGTAAAATTTTGGAAAAACTTTGAGCGCGTGGGAAGCGCGGTTTTAGTGCACCAAAGTGAGCCCTCGTGGAACGCGGGCGCTTTGCTCGCGCGGTGCAAGAGCGCAGGCGAGAAAAGACCGAAACACCGCCCGGGCGCGTTTTCGGACTCTCAGCCTTGGGCGCTCCCGACGCGCTCTAAGTTCTGCTAACTGTTACCGATTTAGTGACTTTCGATGACATTCAGCAAGTTCGTCATTAGAGCCACATGTTTATCTTCACTATAGCTCCAAAGTTAATCAACATATTTTAGTTAATTAATCGACTTATTGTAACGATTATTCCCCTATGTTACGTTTTCCTGGCCTTATAATCCACCTCAGACCGTATGAATGTAACTATCACGGCTTTTTTTTTTAAGTCTGTAAGTTAAAAACAAAACAAAAAAGCTAGAGAGCGTGACACAACAGCAAACGAGCGGTGGCCGTTTTTAACTATTATTGTTTTCACGATTAAAGCGCCGTATTAAAAATTTATATTTTAAAAAATAATACCAACGCAGTAAAAATTCCCGCGCCTCTCTGAGCAAAATGCAGAAAGGCGCCTCCGTCGTGTTCGCGCTAAGTGTGCCGCGCAATGTACGCATCGCGTATCACAAACTATTTCAAGAGCACGGCACGCCCAGCACTTGAAAATGGCAGATATGGGACACAGCCCACTCCTCGATATACCGAGGTTTATATTTCTACATCTTTCGCGCCTTACGCGCTCGGTATGGAGCATTGTTTCCGGAAGTCGTATCTACACGATAGCAGGTCCGGCATTTTCAGTGCGACCTAGATACAGCAACATTTACAAAACCAAAAAAAAAGAAGCCTATCGCAATCTCGGCTACTTATACGTGTTCCGTGATGCATATCCGTACAGACGGTGTGATGCACGTTAAAAACCTCACACTGCGCTGGTGTACTTTATCATGTACAGTGGCGGTTAACTTCACGCCGTTTAAACGTACATTATTGTTAAGGGGACACACCCCCCAGGGGGGTCAACTTTTGAACCCTCGTCTTAAAATTAATGAAATTTACAGGGTCACGCTAGAGGGTGTATAACAGAATTTCAGGACTGTCGGTTAAATGAGAAGGAAATTAGAGTAGCTTCTATCAGCCCGGGTGGAGGAGGGCGAGGGAGAGAGAAAGAGCACGTGACCACCACACGCATGCGGCCGGCTCTCCAAACCGTCCGAACGGAACCGTAAAATGTCTTCCTGCGCCGGGTACCGAAAGCCACAAAACCTTCGCAACTTCCGACATCCGCAACCCGGAATCGTTTGGTTTGGGCCGGCCTTTCAGAATTTCCTTGAGGCCTCCAGGTCGCTCGAAATACGAGGTGTTGAAAACGAAGAAGGAACGTGAGCCTTCTTTAACAAATTGTTTTTTTGTTTTTTTTTTCTAAAAAAAAAAAAAAAAAACAATTGGTTTGAACACGGACTGATAGATTTTTTGCTAAATTACCCAAGCATACTTTTTTTTAATGCTGGGAACGTATACACGCGCTGCAAGCGTTCTCCTTATCTGTATCAAATATTCAAATTTAACAACCAAATTAAGATGTTGATGGACGCTCGTGCAAAGTGCCATTTGTTTTATTTTTACTTTAGAACAGTTATTGCTGCAGAAGGCAGTACGCGCAGCGCATGTAACTACGCTCGCGCACGCTTTATGAGCTTGGATAATTTAGCAAAAAGCATATCACTGTTACTTGCTTTCTGGACGTGAAGGATTTATTTCGAGTACTGTGGTAAGCCAAAATGAACAAAGTGTTGGTCGTTTCATTGTTCCTTTAGTCCACGAGGACGCCAGCGAAGACATTTGTGGCGCACCTTTAGGCTAATACTTGCTTCAGACATTTGTGTTTCGATGTGATCGACTGCGCCACGACTCCTTGCGTTCCAACACATTTTGCGCGAATCTTGGTTGCCGCGGCAACCCTCTCGCAAGCACTCATAAGCGGTCATATTGGCAGTTGGTCAAGGCTGGTTCCCACACATGCAGATATATGGTAAGCTGGGCGAGCTGGTGACGTGGTCAACAGCATACAGCGCCCAAAAAGACAAGGAAAGAAATGGAACACGCACGACGAAGAAGCGCCTTCAAGTCGAGCATGATCGTTCACCGAAATCTACGGTGGGCGGTCATCTCCCCGTACGTTTCCAAATCAAGAAGGTAGGAGCAGCTCCTCCCACAAGCGTGATGCGCCCGTTTCAAATCCCTCCGCAGCCGAAAGAATCCTGGAAACGCTCCTTGTTCCGCTTCAATGGATAGATAATGGCCACAGAGTGGTGCCAACTTGTCTTCGACCCCCACGTTTTAAGAAAGCGACCTTTGCATTCATTGGAGGGGGAACCGAGCCCCTGAAAGCAGCCTTTGTATCCATCGGAGGGGGAAGCTAATCCCCGAAAGTCGTATTTGTTTTCATCGGAGGGGGAAAACTCTAATCTCCTTCTCGTGGCTTCCACAATGCTCAGTCAAAGTCGAAAGATATATGTACAGAAAGGCAAGACCCTCCTCGCGCGTTGGCCGCGACGTCACGGAAACGATGGGACGCCATTGGCTTGGGGGACGCAGCATTAACCACCCGAACACTGCCTCAACCATAAACCTTGTTTTAGATAGCACTATGGATGGAGCAATGGCAAAGACATGTTAGTTAGATGGTGTTGTGTGGTGTGTGACACGCTCTGGCACTGCGCGACTTTCAGCGCGTTCACTTGTCCTTCCTTTTGTGTACAAATCCAGTTGCGAGTCAGCGCTTGTGTGTCGTGCATGTTTGATTTCTTTGTCCTTGTCTTTTTGTGCGCTGACGTACCGTTCACCATGTCACACACTTGCGACTGCTTACGACCGGAGGGGCTCACAACCGGTCGAGTCAAAGTCGGTCGTAGTCATACGCAAACGTGTGAAAGGTCCCTTGCCACAGTCTTACAACCCTCGTAAGCAGTGGCATAACTTAAAATCGGGTTTTAGCCTTTCCGGTCGTAAGCAGTCGAAAAATGTGAACCAGACTTCACAGTCAGGCGCTCTATACCTGACCGACCTTACACGTCTCCCACCCCTCGCAGAACATGCGGATGCGCGAAGCACTGCGCGACATCATGGGAAGCCACGAGGACGACGTGTACGGCGTGCCCAGGCCCCGGAGCCCTTTCATCTTCGCCTGCGAGACCGAGCAGTGCAGCCGCGAGGGCAGCCACCTCCGCCGCAACGTGGCCTGGGATCTGAACCCCTGCCTGGACTTCCACGAGTACGCGTGCAGCGGGGACAGCCAACGCAGGTTCCTGCGCGAGGACGCCGTCGAGCACTTTCTCGGGGAGATCCGCCAGGTGGTGCGCAAGTGGACGCAGCTCAGGTGGCTGCAGAAGACCAGTCTCCAGGCTAAGGTAACGCCTGCAGGCTGAGGTGAAGCACTCTTGAGTACTTCTTTACTCGGTCCGCGTCCTTTTGTGCGCTGTGTTTATCTCGCTAAAGTGAGGTATTTGTAAACGTTTGAAAGCGGCCAGGCCTCAAAAGTGAGCCTGGCCACCATCGGCTGGAAAAGCTTTGTTGGGGTAGTTGGGGGAACAGTATGGCCGCCGTGGGCACGCCTCAGTAAAGCAAGCTTGACCACAGCTTGACTATCATTCGATCTGCACACATCAGCAGCAAGATGACGGCACGCAGTCACTGTTCGAAAGCTTTTCTATAGACCATTCCATTTAGCGCTCTCTGGGCGGCACCATTTTGTTCGACCGCAGCGCCCTCTCCACACATCCGGGAAGTTCAACGGGTTCGGCGGGGTAAAACGAGAGAGAGGGCACGCGCCCGACTCCGCTAGCAGACGACAAACCGGGAGGTTGCCGTTCTCCATCTTCGGGCTGTATCGGCGGTCAGTACGGAACATCGAACTCTCGCTCGTGGCTGCCGTTGTGAAGTGGTTCGCGTTCTTAGAATAGTTGTGGCTGCTCCAAAATCAGCTTATAGCTCTCTGTTGTTCTATTTCGCTAAATGATCAACTAGCATATCCTTTTTCCGTTACTTAAATAGCAGTTGAGTCAGCCGGCAGTACTACCCTCAACTACTGCGTGTATTGCGGCAGGAGAACACGTTTTATTTATTACTTCAGACTTCCGCTCATGGTCACTAAAGGCCTACACCAGTACGAACTTTTTATAGTAAAAAAGGTACAGCAACCGGATTTACTTTTCGCCAAAGAGACCGACCAATCTGACACAGTTTTCCCTATTTTTTTTTATTTGCACGCAGGTAACAGCGCAATTGGACCCTGTGAGTCTTTTTATGTAGCATAGCATTACACGATAACTGGCATACCAAAATCTGCGCATCTGCGCTTGAAATTCCCAAAATGACGCGATTTTAAACAGAGTTTGCACGCCAGCCAGACGCTAGCTACAGCCCACTCGGCGGAGCAGACGATGTTGGGATGAGAGGGGGGAGTGCATTTTTTTTATCTTTTACCCTCTTTGCTATGACCCAAATGGAACGGTCTATAGTCACCACGGAGGGAAACGCTTTGTTGGGGCATCCGTCTGGTAATGAAATGCTCGCTTGAACTTGACTTCCAGACGACGTACACACACCGGCAGTAAGATTCCGGCGCCCCGGTACTCGTACAGCTGAAAATACACCCCTGGCCCACCATGGATGGGAGGCGAAAATCTACACCTTTTAGAGGGGCCGTTTTATTCCTATCGACTCAGGAGCAGAGTATAATATAAGCCCTTCGGCGGTCCTGTCCGCTGATTCAATGAAATTTGCTTTCCTTCCTCGTTGCATTATGCAATATATTTCGCGAAGTATAAATTATAACCCATGAACGTAAACGTAGATTACATGATTTCGACATGAGCTACCTTTAGCCAAGGTCAGGCATGTAGCCAGAGGGGGGGGGGGGGGGGGGAATCTTCCATTTTACTGGAATTTCCTCTCCCTTTCCCCCTCATACAGCATTTTGTCATGGACCCCCCCCCCCCCTTGCCACCCCCAAAACTAAATCCTGGCTACGTGCCTGGCCAAGGCTGGGCCAATGTACAAAGGGACAAACACACCAAAGCAAGAAGACAAAAAGAGTTAAATTTGTGTGTGTGTGTTTTGATTCCGAGCAAATGGAAATATTACGTGCCATCTGCACGAACGAGAAGAAGAAAGAGACGCGGAAAATGCAACGTTTTGGGAGAACGCCCTTTGTCAATTGATGGTACATGAAGTAAACGGAGGAAGAACATAAAGAATCGCCCGAAGGTGGTGTCAGGAAAAGGCAGCGCATTGATCCGTCGAGGAAAAATAAAGAAGGAGTGGAGGAACAAAGAGAGAGAGAAATGAAATAAGATTAGATACGTTATGTTTGGGTATGCTGGGACGTGCCAACGGAAATAAATTCGGGGAAAGTCACCCAAGAGCTCGGATCCGCTATGCGCACGAGCGCTCGCGAAGTGCTCGTTCAAGACAACGTACCCCCGCTCAGCATCGGCCTCGCTCGCTTTTATTGTGTCACGAGAAATGCACGGCATCTATAAATTGCCACGCGTCGATGGAGTCAATCTAGCGGTGCCGGAAGTGCATGCGATTATGACGCCTCACTCGTTTCTCTGCGTTTGCTGTATTACCATGCAGCTAAACCGATCACGCGCAGAAAAAAGAAAAACAAAAAAACATCGCCGGTTCGCAACGCATTTATGGCGTTGGGTTACCCGTGATAGCAGACGCGGAAACACGACGAGATTCACCGATTAGTCGCGATGCAATTACCCGTCGTATCACACACTTAGCCGTAATGCGATCATCCGTCGTAGTGGCAGTGAACCGGGTTTTGGCGCTGATTGGCTCCGTCGGTCCGTCGCGTCGGCTGGGGTCGCTCTTCAATGGAAACGGAGTCAAGTAACCAAAAAAGCCTTGGCCTCGAGGCCACGAGGAAGTTCTGTTTCGCACATGACAAGATGACAGAGACGTTTAGTTGACTATGACCGAACTGTACTTACCAAAAACGTCTGTGCACTTTTAAGAGGGGTCTGCCCGGTATTTTTAGATGGCGAGGCGTCGGCGCTCGTGAAATTGTGCGTGCCAATTACTGCGTTGCATTTTACCTTCGGGGGACTCCTTATGAGGTTGTTATCTCCCTTCTTTTTCTTTGTGATTTTACAAAGGTCGTCCTTTGTAAACGTGTTTTCATACTTACTTACTGATTCCCAGCTGAACGTAATGAAAAGCGACGAAGAGAGAAAGAAACAAACTGCTGGACTATCAACCCTTTTAATAAACTTCCTTCTCCTCAACCCAATCCTTAACGGGTAGCTTCATCTTCTTCAGTAAGAGCTTAAACATAAACTTCCTTTTTTTTTTTTCTCGAACCGTGGGGTTCTCCCCTTCTTCGACTTTCCCCGTCTTAAAAAGGTAGCTTCTTCTTCAGTAAGAGCTTAGACAGATCCGTGGAGTTTTTCTCTTCTTAGACTTTCGGATCTTGAAAAACTTCCTTCTTTTTGTCTTTTATACTTCCGGTGGTGTCACCCTCGTTTTACTCGGTCGGATCTTGGAGTCACTAGGTCCCAACTTGGTTCATCCGAGGTGCCGCTCTCCTCAGATACATTTTTTCTTTGGGCAAGAGCGCAATGGAGGCAACACTGACGCATTCTCCCTCCCCCTCCTCAATGGCCAACGCCTCAAGGAGCTCCCTTCCAAGCTGCTTTCGGTGTTTTGCTAAGACGGTAACGCTTGTGAAATCAGGAGCACATTTGCAGATCCGACAATATGCCGAAAGGTGGCCCGCCGACGTTAGTGCGGTCACAGAGGCTGCATGTTCTCTGGTGCGGTCGTTGATGCACCTCCCTGTTTGTCCTATGTAGCTTTTGCCACATGACATAGAGATCTTGTAAACAACTCCTTTTTCGCATGGGGCGTAGGGTGTTCGATGCGCAGTGCCGCAGGTCGTCGTCCCGTTCTGGGCGGTTTTCCGGTTCACCCTACGGCACATGGCGTACGCCTTGTTGGGGGCGGAGCACACAACGTGGATGCCTTGTCGGCCGGCGATCTTTTTTAACCTATGGGTAATGCCGTGAACATATGGGACCACTGCGAAAGGCTTTGGGGGCTTCTTTTGCGTTGGTTGATTCTTCTCAGGATTTTGTCGCACCTGCCTACAAAGCTTTTCACATACCGGTACGAGGAGGGTACTCGAGTACCCAGAATCCTGGAGTCGACGCAGCTGTTCTTGAAAGCATCGCCCCACCTTATGAGGGCAGGACTTCTGTAGCGCCGAGACTAAAGCTTTGGTGGCCAGCCCCCGTTTTACGTTTTTGGAATGCTCCGAGGTAAACGGAAGGAACCCCTTACATGAACGGGGTTCACAACTCCAGCACACGTGGGAAGGTTGAAACTCCAACGAGAGGTCTAAAAACCGTATGGAATTGTTGACGGGAAGTTCATGGGTAAAAGCCAATCCGTGGCAGCTATGTTCGAAGCTACGCATGACCACGTCTAAGCACCCATTACTCTCCTCATGTGCATCAGAGTTGCTTAGTATGAGGAAATCATCAACATACCGAAAGATGGCCTCGATGCGTTGATCCTTTAACTGGTCTTGAATGTTCCTCCTACACGCTGCTAGGAACAAATCACTCAAGTAGGGGGCCACTCGCGACCCGATGCACACCCCGCTTTTTTGTAAGAATTGCTGATCCTGGTGTGACACCACCGTCGCAGAAAGATATGCCGACAGGAGCTCCAAGAAGCTGTCGAGGCTCATCCCTGTTGAATTTTGAAACCCTTGAAGACCCTGCTCCTCAATGGTTTCTCAGAGGATCTTGAGGAGAGCCGCATGGGGAATGGAATAGTAGAGGTCTTGGATGTCCAAGGAAAAACCTGCTACAATATCAGAACCCTTCTCCTGAAGAAGGCGAATCACTGCTTCGGAGTTTGGTATCCGGAAAGGATCCTTTACTTCAACTTGTGATAGGTATTTCGCCAACCAAAGTGAAACTTGCCCTTGCCAGGTGTGTTGCTCTGAAACAATGGCACGAAAAGGGACCCCTTCTTTATGTGTCTTTGCCGAGAAGAACACACTTAGGTCCCCTCGTTGGGCTCCTCTGATTTTTGTGACTAGCCCACGGCTTTGTTCTTTTTCGAGTATCTTGAGTATGGCTCGTTTCGCTGGTTTGACTTGAACTGGATTCACTTGTTTGAAGTTCTTCGCTAAAGTTTGTGTTGCTCTGTCTCCATACGACCCAGAGTCCAGAACTACAAACCCTCCCTCCTTGTCCGAGAGACACAATCGAAGGTCCTTGCGACGCAATTCCTCCACCGTTGAGGCAAAACTCATCCGTGGAGGTCCCAAGCTCTTTTTGCCTGCCAAGCACTCAAGACCCTCGTTGATGATTTGTGAGGTTGCTTCCTGGGGCGCCTTAGATACGATTTCTCGTACCATTAGGACTTTATCGACATCACTTAGCCTTGGTGGGAGGGCGAACTTCGGACCCTGCTCAAGCACCTTCCGGGCTGATGCCGAAAGGGACACATCTCCGATGATCTGGAGTGGCGTGCTTTTGGGTTCTGTTCTAACCCTTCGGGCGAGATGGTGTTTCCAAATTGGGAGAAAACAAATCTTCCACAGGTGCTCCGTGGAGGATTTTACTACGTTCATGTGGAATGAAAAGGCGTTATAACTGAGACACTTGACCCTCAGGAAATCGGTCAGAATTCGAACTTGCCGCCAGGCCTCGGACTTCATGATCTTAGAGACTCGCTGGGCATGACCTGCTGATGGTGCAATGTAGCCGAAGAAGACCCGTACCCCGTCAAGAAAAATCTTCTTCCTAATACTGCGGGCGAGCAACCTCGCTCGGCAGATGTTGGTGGCAATGAGCTGACAAAGTTCCCGCGGGGTAAGGAGGTGAAATTAAGGAAAACATGCGCTCAGAGAACTAGAAAGGTAAGTAGTGATGGCCTGTAGCTGAGCCGGTTGGTTATCCATGCTTACTGATTACCAGCTGAACGTAATGAAAAGCGACGAAGAGAGAAAGAGGGGGCTGGCCACCAAAGCTTTAGTCTCGGCGCTACAGAAGTCCTGCCCTCATAAGGTGGGGCGATGCTTTCAAGAACAGCTGCGTCGACTCCAGGATTCTGGGTACTCGAGTACCCTCCTCGTACCGGTATGTGAAAAGCTTTGTAGGCAGGTGCGACAAAATCCTGAGAAGAATCAACCAACGCAAAAGAAGCCCCCAAAGCCTTTCGCAGTGGTCCCATATGTTCACGGCATTACCCATAGGTTAAAAAAGATCGCCGGCCGACAAGGCATCCACGTTGTGTGCTCCGCCCCCAACAAGGCGTACGCCATGTGCCGTAGGGTGAACCGGAAAACCGCCCAGAACGGGACGACGACCTGCGGCACTGCGCATCGAACACCCTACGCCCCATGCGAAAAAGGAGTTGTTTACAAGATCTCTATGTCATGTGGCAAAAGCTACATAGGACAAACAGGGAGGTGCATCAACGACCGCACCAGAGAACATGCAGCCTCTGTGACCGCACTAACGTCGGCGGGCCACCTTTCGGCATATTGTCGGATCTGCAAATGTGCTCCTGATTTCACAAGCGTTACCGTCTTAGCAAAACACCGAAAGCAGCTTGGAAGGGAGCTCCTTGAGGCGTTGGCCATTGAGGAGGGGGAGGGAGAATGCGTCAGTGTTGCCTCCATTGCGCTCTTGCCCAAAGAAAAAATGTATCTGAGGAGAGCGGCACCTCGGATGAACCAAGTTGGGACCTAGTGACTCCAAGATCCGACCGAGTAAAACGAGGGTGACACCACCGGAAGTATAAAAGACAAAAAGAAGGAAGTTTTTCAAGATCCGAAAGTCTGAGAAAAACTCCACGGATCTGTCTAAGCTCTTACTGAAGAAGAAGGTATACCTTTTTAAGACGGGGAAAGTCGAAGAAGGGGAGAACCCCACGGTTCGAGAAAAAAAAAAAAAGGAAGTTTATGTTTAAGCTCTTACTGAAGAAGATGAAGCTACCCGTTAAGGATTGGGTTGAGGAGAAGGAAGTTTATTAAAAGGGTTGATAGTCCAGCAGTTTGTTTCTTTCTCTCTTCGTCGCTTTTCATTACGTTCAGCTGGGAATCAGTAAGCATGGATAACCAACCGGCTCAGCTACAGGCCATCACTGTTTTCATAGCCTCCGCGCCTCATTTTTTTTTTTCACATGTTTCTATTAATGCGAAAGAAGCTGTCCCATGGAGCGAACCAGCGTTATGAGCTCTTGAAGCCGCGCCAAACGGCACCTACATTCCCCTGTCCCAATGGAGCGAAGCCTGCACGCAGCAGCGAATCGATGTATAAACTCCAATTGGCTGGTGCGCGGCATAGTTCCAAGGAACGCCACCCCACAGAGAAGCCCTCTCCATGGCGCATGCAGCCCGGCCGCCGGTAAGAGAGAGAGGGTGGCCGGGCTCTGCAGAGCGGCCGTGGCGGCCGGCCGCAGAGCCCGCCCTTGTAGCCTACGCAGGGGCTGCTCGGCCGGGCTTAGCACGGCGCGCAGCTTGTAGGATTACGGTATACGTATTCGAATGCTTTCGCATTCCAACACGTTAATGTCTTTGTAATTTTTTTTTTGTGTTAATGTGCTTAATTCGTCGGGTCGGCGTCTTCATCCATAGTTTGGTTTGCTGTCCTGCTCTGTGAAGAGGTAAGCGGGCCTCTTTGAAAATACCCTGCCTCTCTTCGGTGCCCGCAGCCCGCGGCTACGACTGATCCTGACCGTGCGCAAGCCATAAAGTCTCAAGCGTTTCTGCTCAGAAAAGCAATATCTAAGGCGTGTTTCGGGCGTTTTTATTGGGGTTTCTTGGAAGAAACCGCACGTTGAATAGCTTCAAATATACGTATGATCGTATCTCTACGGGGTAGTGAAGAACACAACTTTTTTTGCTTTCAACACTTCCAAAAGTGCAGCGGGTATATTTTCGGCCACACATTTTATTAATTGAATTACACTTCCTATAACGTTTTTTTTTTTTCAGTAGTGAAGACCAGCTTTAGAAAAAAAAAAAGAAGAAATGGAGATACGCTTGAGAGGAAGCGCCTGCGCGTGCGCAGGAACCTGCAGCAGCGCCACCACGGTGGAGCTCTCTGATGTCATTTCACAGCGGTGGCGCTGCTGTCGGCGCTGCGCAGTGCGGCCGAACAAACTAGAGCGGGGTGTCGAGGAATCGGGAGTGTGGTTCCCAGGGTGGAGAATAAAATCAACATGATTTAAATCGTGATATAAATCAAGACAGTTTTACTATGATTATTTCCATCAAACCTTTATAAAAATAATATAATACCGAAATATTGGTTTCTTTTTCGTTTGTCTATTATTTGATGTGTTCTATGTGCATTTGGTTGTGCTTAAATACAAGCAAAATTATCGAGAGAGAAACATGGCTAACCATCATCACAAAACCGTGATTGTCTACTCAAATCGGTGCGTTGTTTGATTTCCGTGTCTTCCATCCATTTGTCAGCGTAACGTCCTATTGCAATGAAGTAAAAAAAAGAAGCAAATAAAGCTTTTTAATTGGCTGAAAAGTCAAGTTGTCTCTATTCTACAAATACAAATAAGTTATTTACACTAAATATTTTGGGCATTGTTATCACTCATCGAAATGATTGATCAATCGACCTGCCATGTTACAAAATACATATAATGGTAAAGAATCACCCCTGGCTACAGTGATTTAAATCATATCAAACTGATTTGAATCATGTAAATCTATATAATTTAAATCATATAAACCTAATTTAAATGAAATTAATATAAACCATATGATTAATTTTTTTTTTCGGTGGTAACTTTTGAGGTAAGGCGCGCATCTTGTCTATTTGAGGTGACGAGGTACTTCCAAGCCTGCCAGTCTTCTTACGCCGACCCGGAGTACCTGCACCACCATCTGGACAAGTACCTCGCGTCCGTCGACCAACACAGACATCCGGAAGCGTGGGCGGCCGAAGTCTCCAAGACTCTGCAGATCTTTCCCATCGTGGACATCGGCGTGTCCACGCTCGATGACCGCAAGTGCATCGTGCTTCGAGAGCCGGACGTCTTGGACAGCGACGCCGTGCTCGGGGTGCCCGGCATCGCGTCCGAGAGCTACAAGGACTTTGTACTGAAACTGTGAGAGCGTTCACTGTCAATCGACGCGTGTACTTAGAATAACTTTTAGAAAGAATAACTCGAAAGGACCCTCCTTCTGCAAGTTTCAGTGACGTTTCGCTGAGAGACTTGACACTTCTTTGGGGTCTTTAAGAAGCCGTCTCTTGGCAAAACATCAGCTGCAACTTCGAGGCGTCCAGGGGGCCCCAAGTCGGACACTCGACAAGAAAGTCCGGGGAATTCGCCGACTGCCGCGATTGGCTATCACCGCGCTCCGATTGGCCAGGGGCAAGGCCAAGCGTGGCCCTGGATAATGGCGGCGGTTTGTGATCTTGCCGGCTTTTTCGCCGAGTGTTCAACGCCTAGAGGAAACTCCCTTTTCAAGTTTTTCCTGTACGCCATCTTCGGCTACATTCGTGATTTGTTTGGACTTCAAAACAAAATACGCATGGTCCGACATCATTCCTCTAAGGCTGTCCATGTGTCTACTTTCCTGCAGAGCACTCGGAGAGCCAACCACCGCGATCTATGGAGAGAGCTCCGTGAATGACGGTGCAGAAAATATGTTTAAACCTAGAAGTATTTTATGCTCACTGACCTCGTCACGTTGCTGACTTCACGTCTAGGTCTTGTCTTTAACGCCATTTTCGGCCACACCATTCTCCAAACTTCCTCCGCGAAAAGAAAAAGAAAAAAAGAAAAGTGATTATATTTGGATTTTGCACACTAAGAAATGTTACACCCTTAGGGGTGTAAAAACGCTGTTCCGGAGACTGACACCCATGACTACATCGTTTCGGCACCTTTATTTCGACAGAATGCACCCTTTTCAGTACTAAATGGGCGCGGTTGCATTGAACGCCCTTCATTTTTGAAGGGTGTAAAAAGGGTGTAAAAAGGATGTGAAAAAGGCGGAAGTGAAGCGAACAGCCTTTTTTGAAGGGTGTACGCCTGGCTGACACCAGTGCGAGGTTGTTTTAACGACGATCTCGAATAATTATAGCCGCTACCAATGCTTTGCACTTGTATATTCACTTATATATAGTATGCATGTGCAGTATTAAACGGGAACGGATGTATACTCTTCGTAATTGAAGAGGCTGCCGCTGCATCTGCGAATTAATCTATTTCAATGGTCGAGTATGTAAAGCGGTCGAGCAGTGACCCCGGTCATGATTCTTTTCTCGCGCTTAATTCTTTATGTCTGTATTTGTTGTTTCTGTGCATGTGAAGATATATGCGAAGCTTGTTCTTTGTAACCGTAAAAAAATTCCTATAGGATGCTGCTAACATCACAAGCATTCTACTCTTCGGGCGTTCACCAGCATCAGGGTGTTGCTGTAACGCCCTCAGGGTTATTCCTCAGGCAGGCTTATTCGCACCCCTTATGGAGCATAACGTTTTAGTGTGTAGAGTGTTTTGCAGGAACGTAGATACATGGGCATTTTTATAGCGTTCGTTGTAGCATGTACCTGGTTTCTATTTAAAAGTACCGTCACGTGAGCTCACATTTTAACCAGTTCTTACGGCAAAGCGAAGTAACGTTTGATCGTGATCAAAACGCTTAGCAACAGCTAGTGTTCACGCACTTCTTTATACGTGGTTTTGTAGTCGTGGACATGGCACTGACGATTACAGGGTACATTTATACAAGCTTTAAGAGGACTCGCTTGCAGGATGAAAGGCAAAGAAGACAGAGTGGACGACATAATAAATCTGGCATGGGAGCTGAGAACTTTGGTCGGCGCCCCGGACGACCCTCTCAAACCTCTGAAGGAATTCAAGACGCAGACCGTCGAGGAGCTCCAACAGGAGTACCCCCTGTGGCGCTGGGACCGATTCCTTTCGGTGTTCTTTCTCGACTCCCTCACGGTCGACGAGAAGACCTGCGTCGTTGTCAGGTGGGCCGTGGGTTTGCGCACGTTTCCATTCACTCGAGTCTTCTCACAGCATAGCCGCGAGCAAGCAAACCATATGTTTTGAGTGACGCCCATAAGCTGGTGCTTGCAGACAAAACCGTCACTTTCTATCAAATACGTGCAGCTTTGGAGAAAAAAAAAAAAAAACATATCACAGAAAATTTAGGTAATCTATACGTTTCGTTAAGAATCTTCTGATGGAACGTTAGTTCTCAATGTGAGGATTCCACAATAAAATGTTTTTTGTGTACCAGGTTCTGCTGTAGGCATGGCTTTGTCTAGGCCACCCATGTACGCCTGCAACGCAAGGTGTTTTATGTATATGAGCCACACGGAATACGTAGTGTGACGACAAGACAGATTAAAGGCAAAGAACACGACGTTATAGAACTCTCGTTGGTGTGCAGCTGAAAAGAAACGGAGGTAAAAGTGCGCTTGTGGACACCTCTGGACATCATATATGTTTGTGACGTCACGCCGGCTCATGCACCATTTGCCTTTCTCTTTAAATTAACGGGTTCCTGCACATGCGCGGCGGTGGTTCCCTCAGCTATTGTGGGAAAGCAGGAAACTCTTTGTGAACAGTCTGCCTGCATGAACAAGACCTTTTTCGGTCGAAAAATGACGCTTCTTTTTCCCATGCGTATTTGTTTTCGTAGCAATATTTCCCCCACGGTCGGTAGCCGCAAACTCAGGCCATGGAGAATCGGGTTCACATACCGCGTAAATGATCAAACTCCTTTTTTTGCTTGAACCCCTTGCCTACTGATAAGGAATGTCACTCTTGCCTTCCCCTACTGACCTAAAGCCAGACCACGAGTGCGACTCGTTTCGGTTTCGGCGCTTGTTTAGCACGCGATCTGGCAGATGGCAAAGCCACCCCTGGTGCTTCATCTACACTGGGTAGCTTGCCCGTTTGGTTTGCTGTTTGGCAGAGAAAAAATGCTCCCTTTGGCCAAGAAAAAAAAAATAATAAGCAGGATCGCTTGTGAGCGTTCGTGCTGAAACAACATGGCGTTGGCACGGAGGTCCACTTTAAGGTCCGTTCACACTCTCGCAACCGAGTACGACCGAGAGAGACCAGACCGGTTTTTAAGCCTCTTGCGACGTCTTAGGACTGGGTGTGCTGCTGCGGAGCTGGTCCTAAGACGTCGCAAGAGGCTTAAAAAAAGGTATTGTCTCTTACGGTCGTACTCGGTTGCAAGAGCGTGAACAGACCTTTAGCCGACAAAGAGATAAAAAAACCTTCTGCTTGAATGGGATTAATGTTCAGTCATATGTGGCGACGAATTTTTCGGCTTTTCCAATTTTTAGGAATCTGACGATAGTTTGATGTGCAGTGACAGGAGTGATGAAATTGATGTGAATCCTGCAAGCATTCCATCAACTTCGGTGTCTTCACGTCAGTGGGACTCAGACCAGAAGTCTTGATTTAGAGCAAGATACGACACCCGGAAGTCGAGGAGATATTTTTTCTTATTTTAATTTAAATTGCCAGTTTAAAATGAAACTTTGCTGTACGTTCCTCGAAGAAAAAAATGAGTAGGCTTAAGGGTTTAATAATTCCGTATTATACAATCATGCCAACGTTACTAAAACACTCAGTTGGGAAACTCGCCGTCGAAACCTGGGCCGCTGGCGTCCACCGAGACCGAGCTAAATGCGACAACAGCGCCACTCTTTTTCGTTTGTCTGTACTCTGGTCACCTCGAGCTTTTTGAAAGCCTGTTTTTTGCGTAAAAACAAACGGAAAATACTCTTTTTGTATGAAATTTATTGGAGTTTAGTACCAAATGATGGGCGCGTGATGTTTTTATCATCTTTAGTTCGCAAGGTTTTGCGGAACAATTAATATTGTTTTTATAAAACCATGCCTCAGCGGGCCTTTCAGGTAGCGCGTCCCGACCTAGGTGCATTTTAACTTCAGTAGTTCAACGCGGCGCGTCCGCCGGGGAGACGAGGTTCAGCAAAGCCAAAAATAGAAGTCACGTGCAGTTTCTCGAGTGGCCGCTGCGGGAGAAATGGTGGCGTTGTGTTCGTCATTAGCTCGGTGCTCGGAGACAGATTGGGTCCATATTTTTAGGGCTGTCTCTATGGGAGTTTCCCAACTGAGTGTTTTAGTAACGTTGAATCATGCTTATTTAACGGCATGTGTTGATCATGGACCGTGTAATAGCTGCGGCCACCATATTAATCTTGTTGAAATTAAAATTTGTAAGTATCATATGGGGATATATGCCAAAACAACGAGGATAAGAAGACGAGTAGCACACAGGACCCCAGGATGTGCAAATATATATATTTTTATGAAGGTATATCAGTAGCTATAAGTATTTTTTAATATGTATCTCAGTGTAATACTAATCTTTTTTTTAAATCTATGGGTACGACGATAAGTACAAAATTATTCTTTTTTTTTAAATATTGAGTTATCTATAAGTACCATATTAATTTCCTTGAAACCTATAAGTACCGAATTGATCTTCATGAGATCTCTCAAATAAAAAAATGTAGTCAAATATGGATCGTAATATTTCTCCTCCAGGTCTCCGTCGTACCTCAGGCATGTTGCAGAGGTCGTGCACCGGGCCAAGCCGGATACTATAAAGCCCTACTTCAGTTACGCGGTCCATTTGCACTTATGGCCCCACTGGAAACTTGCCGAGAACTCCGAAATGGCCTGCTCTCTGCTCACGTACCGACTCTTTAATTACGCTTTTGTGAGCCACTTCAATCTCACCGAGAGACTCGGCGTGCTTGGCAAAGCAGGCATAAAAGAAGCCATCATCAGGAATTCGTTCAGGTAAGCAGTTTTACTTGCGTCAGCTGCTGCGTCGGTCGCTATCTTGACTCCGACCCCCCGTTCCTTCCCTTCCCCCTCTCCCCCCAGCTTCGCAAGTGTGTGTGTAATCGGCCGCGGATCAGAACGGCAGATTCTCACGAGTAGAATATGCAATCCAGAAATGTGTATACGCATCTCGTAAATGTGCATGAGTAGCGTTCCTTTTTCTTCTGCTGAGTGTGGGGAGCAAGGCACGTCTATAGAAGTAAATTAAGGCTAAATTTGAAACCTTTATTTTTCATAATTCTCTATGTTTTGTTGTTATGACGAAATGTGTCAGTATGGCTATTCTATGCAGCATAGTCAATAGTGTGCACCGGAGCAAAGAACTGACATTACTACTCTCTGCAGCAAGACCCACAAAAGAGCTCCCCTTCGTTCGTCCGCGGTATTTTTGCTTTGGTGTATCAGGCGAGTTCAATGTGCTCAACGAAATAACTAATGCATGCCAAAATAGAGCAATAGAGAAGAAGAAGAAAAAAAAAGTGCATTAGAAGCCATCTCACTGGCGAAACAAACTGCCCGTGCGCATACGAATCGCGGAGGCATCGTCCAAAGTCATCGAGGACGACGTTGCAGACACGCTCTGAGCACATCATCCGCGCTGCCCTACGACATGAAGGAGTCCGTCCTGGACATGATGGCCTCTACCAGGAGGTCCTACTTCAATCCAATGGACGACGTGGACGCTTACTACGAACCAGCCTACTCTGTGGTCCTGAACCGGAGGAACATCCTGGCTACTTACATCGGCATCAAGCACAGCTTGACGCAGAACTGGCTCGCCAAGGTCGTTGGTTCCGGAGGCCTTGTCCACGACACCAACCTGGATCTTGTCTGCCATTACGACCCGGACCGTCGTGTCCTGGCCATCCCAATGTCCATCGCAGAAGTGGACGTGGGCGGCCGTGAGTTCTTCCTGGACTCTTCGACGGTGGGACTCTTGCTGGCCAGGTCCCTCTACAGGATCTTCCAGGTGAAGATGTCCCTCTTTTAATCCAGGCTTAATCGACGCGCCTTGTAGGACTAGGCCACATGAGATGGCACACATCAACGCGAGACTCTGACGTCACGCTGCTGCGGTGGCGCTGCTGTCGGCGAATGCGCAGACGCTTCACTTCGCGTGAAGCTGGTCTCTGCGCTTGCGCAGTGCCCACACCTGGTGTGGGCAAAAGCAGACTTGTTCTTAAACAGCGTGTCTGTCTTGTGGACCGACACCCATACCGTTTTGAGTTTGTTCTATTACTTGGAATTATCGGATCACTGAGAACTTGTGTATCACGAGAGCTTTATTCTCGCAGCAGACGTGCTATAAACACATTGTTGATGACGAACTCGCTATTTGTGAACGGGTCGTGTTCGAGCGCTGCGAAATCGTGGACCGTAGGGCTTTTAAAAAAATTCTGTCATTATTTCTCATTTTGGGTTTCGTAATAAGTTTAATAAAATCGTCAAGGTCATCAAGGATTGAACAGCATTTCATGATAACTTGGCAAAGGGCGAAGGATTTTAGCGAGCCAACCAAGGTCTCACAGCGAGGCACGTCGGAAATGCGCTTCTCCTGTAGATGAGGAGTCACGTGCTTTGGAGCGCGTTTGCCGTAAAAACGAATGATACTGTCGTCGTCCTTTATTTCTTAACATGTTTCCCCCTGGTAAAGCCGTCTTGCATAAAGTGACAAAAACTGGATTTTATCTCCCCAGTGCATTATTTCTGCTGTCAATTGCTCCCAGAGGCCGAACATCAGAAGCACTAGGATGTGGCCAAGCGACAAGCCACCAAATAGCAAGAGCTAAATTAAAGTATAACTTCGCGCCGCCATGCATGCTCTATGTAACGCCACTGTGACGTCATCTCTTAGACAGAGGAGAACCATCAGTGTTTCGATGGTGTAACTTTTGGTGTTCAACTACTTTCACGCCAGCCTGTCGCGGTCCCGCCTTCAAGTTGAAGGTTCGTTCTCAGAACGTGTCTACAAATCGGACTTGACTTGTCTCTTTGTCATCTTCGCGTCTTTCCAGGACACTTCGATGTGGTCACCGGACCTGCAGGCCTACCGGTCCTGTTTTGAAGACCAATACAACGCCGCGCACGTTTCCAATGCCAGCGTGAATGGCGCCCGTAGTCTGCGTTCCAACATGATGGACAGCGTTGCCCTGGACGTCCTGCACAAGGCCTTCAGGTCCGTGCTCTGGTGACACAGCTGAGGTTGTTCCCGCATGCTCCAAGTTTTCCGTAGAACCGTTTGACTTGCAGAAAAGTCTGAGTGCACACCGGTCCTTGATGCACTTAGAGCTCCAATGATTTATTTTATATCTTACCAGTACGGTCAGTGATTGAGCAGTATATATATACTAACACTTCGTTGTGCTCACATGATCTCTGCGGGGATGCCAATTTCGTGCAGACTCGAGCGGCAAGGGTCATGTAAGATGATTGTTCTTCACTCTATGCATAGTCCGCTAACAGATAGTCAAAAAGAGGTAGTTTGTAATTAGGGCTCCATGTTTTCGGTATTTATTTTTCTGCATATTCGGGGGTTATTTATCGATATTTATTTTCCTCCTTGAATCGGTGTTTTTCGGTGTTTATTTCAATGCCGGAGAGAAATCAGTGTTTATCGGGGTTGTGTTGTAAAGTGACTATAATTACGAAAGAAAATATAATTTATAATTTATAAATGATGTTTTCTCCTGTAGCTGGTAAAGAGAGAAGGGACCGGAGCAAGGAATGTGGTTTCGATAGAAAGGAACAACCACGAGGACAGTTTAGCGCAACTGCGTTCCGGGTCAACGAGAAAGAAAGAATAGAATAAAAAATTATTTCCGCTTTTTTTTTTTATTTATTTAGAAAAAAAAAACACACAAAAAAAAAACACCTCGAGGGTTAATTTTTGCTGTTTATCCGTGCATACCGAAAACACGGAATTCTATTTATAATCTACGCTGAAAGGCATGACTTAGCCAGATATTGGTAACTTTTTCTCCCGTTATCGAACTATCTATTCTTCGGTCGTACAATGCCCGCTGCCAGTGCGATTTTCATTGTCGATTAAAATCGAGTTTCTTCACGAAGAGTATATTTATTTGCACCCAAAGGTCTTTATATAAGTACTGGTAGTATAGTGAAGATGTGGACGTAGTTAAGATACCGATACATGCATCTGTGGGGGATGATTTGCAGTGACGAGTGATATATGTATAAAATAAAGACTTTCCCCAATAGAACAGATTTTTATTTAGTTCAATGTTAGGTAATTAAATAGGTTGAATGTACATTTTCTTGAAAATATACATTCAACGTTGAAAAAGGCAGCACTGAACACAGGAAGGTGACGAGCCTCGAAAAGGTGGAGAGACAGAAAGAGAAAGAGAAAGACAGAGATGTCTGCGCGTCGGAGAGGAAGAGAGAAATGTTTTCTTTTACAGCTCCGCTGTAAAAAAAAGAAAAAAAAAGTACCCGTAATTTTTTTTTTTTTACTGTTGGATTACAATAAAGTTGCTTAAACATACTTCCACGAGTGCACATGGGAAAAAAAGTAGCTCTATGTAAGATTTTGTTTACAGCGGAGGCTAGGTTCCCCAGGATAGTGTCCGGCATGTCGACACAAACCTACCTGGACAGCTACCGCCATCTATAAGCGACGGCGGCAAGCACACAAGCAGTATGATTTCCACCGTCGCTTGTAGATGGCGGCAACCTTTCCAGCTATCATAGAAGAATTGATAGTTGGGCGCGTTGGCGGGAATTCATCGTAGGAAACAGCGCGAAAAACAGATGACGACGAAGAAGAAGCACACGTAACGAGCGCAGCGCTCGTCACATGTGTTTCTTCGTCCTCGTCTGTTTTGAGCGCTGTTTCCTACGCTCTTATCAGTTTCGGTTTGGACTCACGATCGGTCGGCCGCGCGCCCTGTCGGGGAAAGGAGACAGGCTGCGGAAGGAGCGGCGACGTCCTCAGCAGCGCGAATGGGTCCGCAACCGTTGCAAAGCCGCTTGCGCCTCGACTTCCACTGCGTCCAGCGCTTCAGATTCCCTTGCCAAAGAGCAGATCGCTCGCCTGGAAAGCCGCCGCTGCGAACAAAACCAGCGATTTAAACGGCGCCGGCGGGCCAACGCCACGGACGACGACGGATCGTGCCACGGAGGCGAAGCGCAAGCGCGAGGCCCGGCGACGACTGCACTCCACGCCGGCTGAACAGTCCTCGGGTGCGACGGCGAGGTTCCGGAGGGAGTTCGTGGAGAACCCGTTTGGCGTCACATGCGCCGTCTGCGACCGACTCTGGTTCGCCAGAGACGTATCCACGATCGGCGGCGTGTCGGACGACAAGAAGCAGAAATCGGGCGCGTGCGCGTTGCGGCAGTGTATCGAGTACAGTTCCGCTGGTGTTCCTTCTTCACGAGAGTGGAAAGACTGAACGTTTTTACTATTAAGTTTTGGTTTTGTACAGCCTCTATCCAGCTGTAAATTTACATGTCTCCCCCTCAACGACATTAATATTTTCATATATTTAAATCCTTGTCAGCCCTCCACGCGCGGAGAGTTGGGTCAGGTGATAATAGGGAGGCTGCTGATTGGTCCGGCGATCACGTAGTTCCCAAAGTATGCCCCAGCTTAAGGGTGAACAGAGTATAGTGTGCGCTCTCAGTTCCCTGGACCCCAGAGCGCATGCTAGTTAGGTACAAACGCTATCATCATCATCCCACAGGGGCACAGTTTCAGTTTCGCCCGCAAGTGGAAACATTCGTATTGTAGCGTAACTATTGGGCAAAACATTTTTAATGCGAAAGCATTAACTGTCTCATGGAGCGAGCTGACGTCATCAGTTTGAAACGCGAAAGTGGCTCCTAGTTTCCGCGATCCCAATAGGAGCGATTCGCCTCCGGTTCCACTGGTTGGCGCGCGTCGACGGGGCTCCCATTGGCAGCTGCGCCATGACCTCCGAGACCCCGAAGCGCGCGCGTGCTAGTACGTAGCAGACGACAAAGGGAGCGGACGAGCGGCGTGCATGCTTTCGCATTCACAACTCATAAGAAATGCTTAAGTGTACCTCGAGCTTTTTTCTTTCTTTTTTTCGACGTACGTACATTATTTTTTAGACATGCCTGTCCTAACCAAGTAGGATAAAAAAAAAGGTTTTCTTTTTAATTTTTGGTTTCTAGGTTTTGTGTTTTTTTAACCAACACTGTCAAAGCTGAAAGTACATTCCTCTTAGCTCCTTTAATAAAAGTACAATTCGTCATACTCAAGTCTTCATAGCGGGCTTCCGGCCAAGCGACGCTTTTCGTCGCGCTTGTCGCCAATAGGAAGTATTCCCTGGCGACCATAGTTGTGTTCTCTGCGCTTAACCGCGTGTCCACAGCAAGCATTGGTCAGATCCCTTTGGCAGCGCCAAACTGTTATGGCAGACAGTAAGTTGGTTTACCCACAGATCGTGCTGGTAACCAAATAGGCTTCCTAGTGAGGTATTAGAAAACTACCACAGGTCCTGTCTTTTTGGCGTATTACATGTGTTAGGCCCGGTTCTCATCGGAGCTCATCCAGTATAGCGTTGATCGTAACCCTAACCATCGCCCACCCCCAGATCCGCCGTGCAGTTCTACTCGCTACAGACCAAGGGCAGAACGCAACTGCAGGAGGTCCGGCTGCACTTCCCGGACCTGCCCGCTGTGAGCTCAGAGCAGATATTCTTCCTGATGTACGCCCAGTCCTTCTGCGAGCCGCGGGAGGACGTCGGCAGGGTCCTGTCGAAGAGCTGCTGGGCTCCGGCCAAGGTTCGGCTTAATGTGCCGCTGAGCAACTTCGACCCCTTCGCCGAGGCCTTCTTCTGCGCCTCCGGGTCGCCAATGAATCCGAAGTCCAAGTGCCGAGCGCTCTAAATAAAACACAGAATAAACCTTGCATCGACACGCGTTACTTTTCTTCACTGCAAGGGACCGTGAAACAGAAGCTCGTACCACACGACGGGTAACATATCTATGCCTAGCATGTGCCAACTAATGTGATGGCACGAGCTCCCGCTAGCGAGCCAATTAGTGGATTTTAGCTAATTCATTTGCTAATTGTCACTTTCCGAAAGAATAACTTCTTTATTTCCAATGTACTCTTATTACTTTGCGTCTTAGAAAAAAAAAATGGTTGAAGCTTTGCTAATTCGATCAAACGCGATTAAATGCGCATTACACGAACATTGTTAGTGAAAACAATTAGGAAAGGAAATGATACGGTGATGCGAAATGGTTGTAACATGCCGTACATACATAATTTTAGCTTTGCTTGACGTCGAGGACGACGCCCTAGAGGACGACGTCAAGAGCGACGTCTAGGACGGCCTCTTAGTCGACGTCAAGGACGACGTCGTCCTACGTCAAGAATGACGTCGAAGACGAAGTCCTGCAGGACGATGTCAAAAACGACTTCTAGGACGACCTCTAGGGCGACGTCAAAAACGATCTCTAGGACGACCTGTAGGACGACGTCAAGGAATTCAGGTCACGCAAGCTTCAGCTACCGGCGTTTACGTGCTTACGCAACCGGCACTTACGCGAACGGACCTTATGCAACCGACGCTTACGCGACCGGCGCTTAGCGGCTTACGCGACCGGCGCTTCAGCAAAGGGCGCTTGAGCCACCGGCGCTCCAGCTACATACGCTTCAACCACCATCGCTTCAGCCACGAGCGCTCCAGCCACGGGCGTTTCGTTACCTTGATTACGCGACCTTGAGCGTCGTTGGGTCTATAGACATTGCACAGGCGCCAGATTACAGCCGCCATTGGTGACCTTCTCTTTTCTTACCAGGTGTCGAGACACTGAAGCCGGCGTTGACGAGCCACAACAAATGCCAGTGCTGGGGAGAAGGATAGGGTAGAAGAAAAAAAATAAACAATACCCTGCTCTGCTGTGGTCATGATGAAGTGAAGTAAACGTAATAAAAGGAAACAAAAACTGAAAGTCAGTTATGGCGGCGCCCATGCACAGCTTCTGCAGAGCGTCCAGAAAGCTACCGCTTTAACGACTGACTGCATGTTTGGTCATTCTCCAGGAAGATGTAACGTCACGGACGGGCGAAGCATTGCCCAGATCTATTTTGTCGATCTGCATTTGTTATTTCAACAAAAACAACATTTTTCCCTAGAAAGGAAGGTTGGTGTATGTCGCTTTTTTTTTTTTCCATAAAAAAACGTTGCCTTTGGGGTGCGTCTCGGGGGGGTCAAAGCACTTAGGTTGCACTTTTTTCCAACTTAGTTTACCCTCATCGTCAGCCACGTAGTCAACAAATGTATGCCGGACGAAAAGAAAAGAGAAAGCGACATATTACAACCTAAAAAGAAAACGAATCACAGCCAAAACAAGAATGAATAATAGTTGTGGTTAAAACTTGCATGAACACCTTCCGGTGTCTCCGGGTATCCGGGAGCGGATACCCGAAGTTCCGCCGCTGGTGTACCTTTTCATGATATGCAGGCACGTATCCAGGGGGGGGCCCATGGTGTTCGGGTTCCCCCCCCCCCCCCCCCCCACCCCCAAATCTTCCAACTTGCTAGGGCCTCCTCTCACCCTCCACCTCAAAGCCACCCCCCCCCCCCCCTTTCCCGAAACAAATTCCTGGCTACGTGCATGATCATATGTATGGTTACTGCGGGAGTGTTAGAGCACCAGATGTCACTAACGGCCTATAGGAATTAGAGTAACTATATAGGCTCTACTGAGCATATGCAGTTACTCTAATATGAATCGCAGGGCGTGTATACAGTTCCGAACATCTTATTATCGCTCCTGTCCTCAGCCAAAAGAATTGCAGCATTGATTTATACGAATCCCTATATCGAACTTACTAGGGCATCATATTGTTGGAGTGGGTAGACAATTGCAAATATTTAGACAAACTATAAAGCTCACATTACAAGTAAAAAAAAAAGAAAAATTCGATGATGCGGTACAGGTTTTGAAATGAAAGAGACATCACGGCAACTTCGCAGTATAAGAAAACCAAAACCAGATATGAGTAAAACAGTATGAACAGAGGCAAATCTAGCAATGCATTAACTAGGTGAACAATAAACTTTGCAATGCTGTAAAAAAAATAAAAAAATAAATCACGAGGAAGGAGGAGCAGATACAATTTTAGCTGGAAGGTTATTCCCGTACTTTCCGCACTATAGTTCGCACCCGGTGCATAGTCTGCACGCCGTGCATAGTGGGCACCTATAGTGCCTAATCCGAACGTAAAAATTATAACACACAGCACACCTTGACAAATGCCTGCTGTATTAATATGAGCCTGAATCATATATAAATCTACATTAATATACTCCGTTATTCATAAAATTCTTAACGTCTTGTAACAGTGAACAGTCTAGAAAAACAAAAAATTTTTTGTATAGTTCGCACCTGTAGTAGTTTTCATCGAGTAAAATTTAAACTTATAAACATGTAAAGAGGTCGGGGACTATACGTCGGAAAATAGGGTACCTAAATACGTTTATTCTGGACATGTGCTCATGGACTTCAAGATTACGATCGGAGCGGGGCGGACACATATTATTAGCCGATAAGAACGTCGAAAAAGGGACCACAAAATGAAAAGCGCGAACATAAAAAAAAACTAAAACCGTAACGCGTCTTGTTTAAGTTGTTAGCGACCATCATACAAGTTGAAGGGGTCACAAATCCGCGCGATCAAACGGCGGAGTCGTTATGGTCGGTGCAGAAATATGCGGAAAGCTTCGATCCCGGAGAAACCGTGGCACTCGCAAGTGATTCTGCAAGCCGCAGAAATGCTCACAGTCCAGCACCTCTCCATAGGAAGAGGAAGTTGTCCCTCTTGAGAGCTATCATTCCTGTCCTGTGTCCTCGAAGATGAGCCGGTCGCTCTGAGCTGTGCAAAAGGAGAAAAAGACTGAATGCACCATATCAGATTACCAGGACATTCATTAGACAAGTTTAAGACGCAGCCTTCACTCTAATAGAGATGGGATGAAGTGATTAAACGCTGACTATCTCTGGATTTTTTTTATTTTTTTATTGTGGATTAGGTTTTTGTAGTTATCGACTGTCGATCGCCTTCGGACACTTTCACGTGTCCTAACAGGACCACTTGCAAGTCCCAGATGGTCGAGCGCGGGGCGCGCTACGAATCATGGGAATGTCCTGTACTTCCATCGTAAACCGGAGACACGGAAAAATAAAAAAAACGGACAAAACAACAACAAGTCTCAAACACAGCTTCTCAGAGAAGCTGTGTTTGAGACTTGTTGTTGTTTTGTCCGTTTTTTTATTTTTCCGTGTCTCCGGTTTACGATGGAAGTTCTTCACCAGCTCGCCTGTGCTTTTACCCTTTCTTCGTTGATGTCCTGTACGTTGCTCTCTAATCATCACCACGGGACACCGAAGAGAGCGGGGACAAAGAAAGAAGAGCGGGTGTTTGAGTAGTTCGGTCGCAGGTTAAGAAGAGCTGGACAAGTTTCTCCTGCAAAGTCCTCCACTCTTTCCATTTCAGCAGAGTGAGGAGGGCTGGCAACGCTGGTTGACGCGAGCGAGTGAAAGGAGGAAACCGCCAATCCTGGCAAGGAGGAGGGGCTTGTCATGCTTTTCTTAACCTGCAACAGAGTACTTGGCTGTGCTGTCTTCGCCCCTTTCCCAACGCTTCGCTCCCTTTCGACACCGGTGGAGGGCACTGCACGTTTTGCAAACGGCACTCACTATTTTATCTATTGTTCTGGAGTTCCAGATTGTGTGCACACACGACATACGCGCTTTTCTTTACTCATTGTCGCCTATGTGCTGTGTGGCGATTTCTTCACGCTGACCTATGCGGGCGAAGGCGAGGCATCCAGAAAACTGATAATGGAACACGGATATGGTGTCCGGCGCTATCTCTCGATCGGGTCTGGAAGCTGAATCGCCGTGACCCTTTTTACCGCGGGAACAGGCCCACCTGTCACAATTGCGGGAAAACTCGCGTCGTGGGTGAACTGGCCGGGGACTCTAAGCTGGACACCCACCGAGAACGTCGGCAAGATTTGTGTGAGTGTCCAGCTTATAAGTTCCAAGAGCGGACGTCACGTTCTACATGTGCTGCAACATGACGGCAGTTTTCCTGAAATAAATAAATGAAGACTCGTCAAGAGGCTCTGCTTCTGACTTCCCAAGAATACTCGCACGCAACGCCGCTGACCAAGAAGCCTCTTTGCCTCGGTGTAAATTCAAGCACAAAAGAGGACCCCTTCTTTCAGTCTTCTTTTATCAAAACTGGATGGCGTATAGTCAAGGGGATTACCCCATGGTGACGACAGTCAACTGTGGCCCATGGATTGTACACAGACGCGCACTCAATTTCGGATCGTAACGATCAATGCCTCGATAAGCAGTCGGGTATTCGCGTCTCCAGCTCGACGCTCGCCCTCCCGCGGCGTAAACGGGAAGCGCTCTAGTGAGGGTCCCCCGATTCTCCCGCTCAGCGAACACGGCGGAATTGCTTGCGATCATGGCTCGCGTTTTGTGATTTCCGAATGCAAACAACACTCTTCACTGTCCCAACGTAGTGCTGTAGCCTGTATGGAATTGTACCTTACTGGAGAGTTTTAGTATTGCGCGTAGAAGCAAACGCAAGACGTGTGAGTTAGAGTTGCGTGCCCCACGTTGTGCGTGCGCCTCATCGCCATGCGCCATCCAAGAACGCAACTTTGGGCTCCGCGCACGCGCAGTGTGGAACACGCAAAGCTAACGCAAAGACACAGCGCTTGCGTCCGCTCATACACGCATTACTACAACTCACTACTGTTTCACCGGCTTCCAACGCCCACGAAACGTGCTGCAGTGAGCAGACGTGCAAGCAGGTAGGCCTTCCTTCGAACTGGAAAGGCTGAGATTGGCAAAATGACAGAGCGTAAAAATAAAAGTAACTAAAT